TATCTTTTTTTATCTGTTTCCAGGAATAATAGTGTTTTTGAAAAGTTTGAGGACAAGGAATTCACAGAAAGCAGTATGGGAGCTGTCAGTTCGCAGTCGGTCTTGGCTTTTTCTACCGCAAAGCTCGCAAAAGACCATTGTCTTCGATGAGCCACCAGGAAGCAAGTTTGGAGCGACCTATGGCCTGTAGCAGTCGCACCCTTCCTGTATTGCGAAAGACGGCACTGAATCGAGTTTTATGCTCCATGATGTATTCCTGCAGCAGCAGGAACGGCTTGTCAGCAGAGCTCACACAGCAGCGCGCAACCATTCCCGGGAAAGGTTCGAGCTGGAAGTCCCCCGGCTTCCAGTGTAAACCTTGCCACTGGACTTCTTTGAAGGTCCTGAGGGTCTGTTGGCCCCATTGGACCTTCTGTTCTTTTCCGCGGCATATCTGCGCACGGCGGTCGAAATGCAGCTGCAACTGCTGGAAGCAGGAGCAGAACATGCGGTCCAGCACGGCCTTGGACCAGCGTGGCCCGCAGACCCAGACATCCAAGTTCTTGTTTGCAACGTTTTTGTAGACTTGATGTTTGGCCTCGCAAGCGCTTGTATCGATGTAGGCGCCCCAGGCTTCTAGCTGTGTGGCCGCATGATGTCGCCAGTGGTGTTTTGGCTTCAGTATCCCGTCACCGTAGGCAGCGAGGACCAGACCATGGTGCTCCCGCTGGAGCTGCTGCAGTCTCGTTGTGTCCGAGATAGCTTCCTGTCGTTTGAGGTTGTTGATTTCCAAGTGAATCTTCTGCAAGGCTTCGAAGCTAGCTAAAGGCTTTGCGAGCTCGTCGCAGTCGTCCAAGAGTTCCAACAGAGCAGGGATTAGTGGCAGCAGCTGCATGACGTGAGTTGCTTTTCCTTTGTAGGACTTCTCAGGCAGCCTTGCTGCGTGCAGGAGTCTTGCTCTGGAACGAGGGCCAGACAATCCAAGCACGTGGCTTGGCACTTGCCATGGCAACTCCTCCAGCAACGATGCCAAGGAGTCTGCAGGTTGCTGCAGCACTCGCTCGGCCTCGTGCAGGATGGCGGCAATCTCGACTGCTGCACACCCTCCGGCCGTGTAGTAGATATGCAGGAAGTCGAAGAGCCACTTGCTCGGCGGGATCTGTCTCCTGCAGACACCAATCGGATAGTGTCTCTGGCAGAACATGGTTTAGAGTCAAGGGCCTAGTAAACCACAGCATCAAGAGACGGCAACCTCTATATAATCTTTCTAACCTCTTGGCTCGCATTCAAGGGCCCAAAATGGAGCTGGCCTGGCAAAGTCATCTTGCAAGAGGCCATCGGGATTGTACACCATGCCGCTCAGGGTTTCCTCCTCTGCAAAGAGACTCGCAGGGATCTGGCCTTTACGTGCATGCTGCAAGTCGCAGAACTCGAAGAGTTCCTCATCAGCGATGAGGTCCCACTTCTCCACTTCAGCCGAGCAGATGTCGCAGGCGTACCCGTGCATGGCAACTGCTGCAGCCAGCGGATGATTTTTCATGAGCACGTTTTTGCAGACATGACACGGTTTCAGGCCCGAGGCGCCTTTGCAGTTCAAGGCCTGACGAATTGCCTCTCCATCATCTATGACGGCGGCAAGCTTTAGTCGCAGAAAGAAGCTGCTGGAACACCTGGGCTTCGAGCTTCATGCATGAAAGGCCCCTGAAAGACCGAAGCATTTTTGGGACGAGGGCCGAGGTACGATAACCTGTAAAACTACATCAAAAAGAAGAAGAGGGAGCCTGACAGTTACTCTGCTACTGAGTGGCTGTATGAGGAAGCCCTCTTCCAGCTTGTCTTCGGCAGCAAAGTGAAGGAACTGGCGCAACACAGGCCCAAGGCTTCCCTGCAGTTGCTTTTTCAGGGTGTCCGCCCCAATGACACAGACAGGCACCCACAGTGCTGCTGACTGGGTACCTAGCTCTTTCACAGCTGCATAGATCATGCAGCTTTTTTTCTGTGGGTCCGGCGCCAGTACATTCCCTGCTGTTGCCTCGTCGAAAGACAGCACGAGCTTGAGTGGGTCCTGCCCAGCTTGCCGCTGTGCCGCGGCCAGTGCCTCGGCCAGCGACGGTGTCTCGGCGGCGAGGCGCTGAAGCAGTCTGGGAATGCTGGCCATGGCGATGCGGTCTTCGCCGAAGGATACTATTCGGAATGTTGTCTCCGGACTCGTGAGTCGCTGCACTGCTCTGCGCAGCGTCGCACGAAAGCAACCGGCTGCTTCAGCAGCATGTTCCTTGGAAGTACTGCCTCGCCTCAGGGCCTGTGCCACATCTTTGGTGCTGAGGACAGCGCGCTTGCCCATGCCTGCGCATAAGACACACTACGTCCTGTCCTCTATTTGAGCAGAAGGTGGCCGAGCAGGCAAGTTGAGACTGGACCCTTCTTATAACAGGGACATGGCCTATAGACTGGGCAGACAATGCAGTCGACTCGTGCTCTAACCCGGACAGCTTTCAGAGAGTACAGCATGCTCATCTTGTAACTGGCGTTATGAAGGCCAGAGGACTTTTTCTGGCAGCTTCGAGCTCTCATGTTCCTGCGGGGCATGCCGCAGACACAGATCTACAAGGAACCTTGATCTGTGCGACAGACCTGGCACCGTCAGCTGAAAGTAGGCTGCAGCTGCTTACTCCTTCGTGGAGCAGGGGCCTTGCTTGCGCTTGGACTTCTGGCCTTTCAGAGCCTTACGAAGCTTCAGCTTCTCGACCCAGGGGCTGCGGGGCTGAGTCGCCGGGAGACTGGAGCAGGCGCTCTTGGCAGGCGTCACAGCAGGCGGCGAAAGCTGAGTGCACTGTCGCTTACTGTCCGGGGTCCGCTGTGTCTGCGCGACCGCTGCGCACGGCACGCGGACCGCTGCAGGCGGGTCCCAGAAGACAGTCGTCGCTTCCTCGGACGGACCTGGCGACGCAACACGACGGTACTTCTTGTCCTCGTTCTCCCCGAGCAGCGTGGAGGCCATTTTGGCATTGGCTTG